CTAGGTGGTGCCCACCCTGTATCAGATATACAGGGAAGACCTGTTGGGGTTGCTGCCAGCAACAGGAACTGATAGTAAAACATGTCTCTTCATACACCTTGAGACAGGCTGTTAATCCCTTCCACACATTAGAGAAAGAGAAGGCATTTTCTGCTATTGGCAGCATTTTCCAGGTTTTAGTACCCTGTAGTACATTGCTTCCCACAGAGGTCATGGACATAGCCTCTACAGATGTAATACAGAGGGCCATGATTCTCATGGATAGCTGGCTATGCAATCTCAGACATGGGCTCACAGATACTGAGAATGGACTAACCTACAAAAGGCAGCCAAGCAGGTGCAGTTTGATAATCTACGCCAGCTCTCACAAATTGACATTTCATTATAGGGGATATTGTTGGTATTTTGCCAAGAATTGACATGGATGACTTCAGTCTTGCCATAAGAATGCAGAATATTTTAACCTTAGGTGAAGGAAATACAAGGAAATATGAGCAGAGGCACATCAAGCTCAGCCTATCTTGATCCCTGACAATGCTATGGGAAATCCATTTGACTATTGCTTAACACCTAAATACAGGTGACTAGAGGTAGATAAAGATTCATCACAAGTTTAAAATACAATGCATCTATACTCATGATCTTAGCTAAAAACCTCTTGAGGTCAATCTTGGAATAACTTGTTCCCTTTTCTGGTAAGTCCTTGGGTAATTTTCAGGACAAGTTAAGGATCCCATGTATGTGCTAGCTAGCCCATTGAGTTCAAGGATGAAGGACTACTGAAAGCAATGATTTCTTAAGATGAAGTGATAGCTCTGGTCTCAGTAAGGAAGACTGAATTGTGGAATTAAGCATCTGTAGCAATAACAGCAGAAATAGCAAGTAAAGCAGTGTTTCTCAACCTTGACAATTTTAAGGCATGTGGACTTCAACGCCCAGAATTCCACAGCCAGCAATGCTGGCTGTGGAATTCTGGGACTTGAAGTCCACATGCCTTAAAATTGTCAGGGTTGAGAAACACTGAAAGGGTCTGGTTCTGGCAATGTATTCAGCCAATAGCCACACAAGGTGATCAAGAAAACAGGTGATTTGATAGTTTTAACAGTTCTGTGCTACCCCAGACAAGACCGACAGGTTTGCTTCTGTTTTCTTAGATTTGTCTAGTTCTGGCAGTTACCCAGTAGTACAGTTTATCACAGATCATTGTCCTGAATTAGAGTGTTTTCCAGGAGAGGAGACATAGTGATATCCCATTGTTCATTTCTGAACCATTGCCCAACTTTCTTGATCTGGCACTGGAGGCTAGTGAGACTTACAGCAGCAATGCTGCAAGCATGCCATAATTGGTAATCTTCTTTCACCCTAATCTCACATTTCATCCTTTTTAAATGTGTATGTTTAATGGCACCTGATACCTGAAAAGACTGCTGACTGCAGAGAAGCAGAGCAATCCTAAGTATACCTCAGTAAGTTTCATGATGTTCAGAAGGGTTATGAAAATACAAGTAATTGTTACAAACCCCAGAGTTGCTTTGAGATGGGTGGCATATAAATGAAATAAATTTGTTAATTCTTTAAAAAAACCAAAAAGTATCATTTAAAACATCCTATTAAGTCAACTCAAAATCCATCCAACTTGGTACATTAACTATACTGTTTTTGTAGTAGACTCATGTATCTATTTTCCGCTTCATCTCCAACCATACATTTAGAGGTGGGTTTTAACATCAGAATGTCCTGTTTTCTAAACTTGGGAAGCAACTCTTGTTTGTTTATCCCTGCAGCTGTGGGTGCAACTTGACACCCATTTCAGTATTTCTTTGAATACCCACAGCCCTCCCACATTCCATTCTAGATTCTGGGAGCCAAAATTTTAGGACTTCCTGGCTACCAGCTTTTCCCAACTCCACTTCTGGAGAGGCCATCACAGCTTTCACTTGCTCGTGACCTTACACCAGGGAGGGGTAGGCAAGTATGGCAACTTTACGATCCATGGACTTCAACTCCCAGAATTCCTGAGTCAGCATCATGAATTCAGCAGCAAGGAATTCTGGGAGTTGAAGTCTACAGATCGTAAAGCTGCTCCAGTTGCCCACCCGTGCCTTAAACCGAAGTGAGAACTGCTATAAAGAAGTTGAAACTTCGCTTTCACGAAGTGTGTTTTAGGACTGGCTTGTTCAGAGTCTCGGATTCATTCTACTCCTTAAACTGGAAGCGGCAGAGTTAAAACACCGGGATAGCAGCCAAATGCGTTGTGACTGTCGGCGATCATAGCCCGTTTAGTAGAAGTCGCCGTTTGTCCCCCCAAGATCCCGTCGTTAATGCAGGAACCCTGCCCCTTCTCCTACCCCACCTCGCCTCCATTTGACTGGTCGCCACCCGAGGACCCATAAACGAAAACCCCCTTCTACCAGGAGGCGCACCCAGGGTAAACGTCAGGAGTTTCTGGCGGGAATTGACCCAAACGTGACTTTTTTGGGGGGGGGGAAGGCTGAAGCCGGAGAAGGGATGTATGTGAAAATAATAAAGACAGGATATAAATAAATGCATGAACTTTATTTTCTTTTCTTTTCTTTTTTTAAAAAAGTTCCCTCTGACAAAGGTGCGCTGTGGTTCCAGCAGGCACCAAAGGGTCTCGGCGCGCGCGCCCCCCTCCCCATAGGAAGCTTTTTAAAAGAAACGCAGACCGCCGTCTGCTCCTCTGTCCGCGGACAGGGTAGGACAGCAGCCAGACAAGGCCAACGGTCCCAAAGAAGCGCTTCTTTGGTTTTCAAGTTTCACACCCCCCCCTCCCCTCAGCCGGGGGCTGCAGCAAGTTTGCCTCAGAAAAAAGCGCGGCGGAGGACGGCGATAAAAGGCTTTTCTCTCTCAGCCCTTGCGAGGATCCCAGACTCTCCGAGGCGCGGCTGGGAAGGCTCGCGGCTTCCAAAGAGAGCCCCCTCCGAGTCGTAAAAAAGCCCGGTCACCGCAGCGCTGGACTCGGAAGAGACTGCCTTTGATGTCAGCGGGACTCGCTTCCCAGCCCCGGGAACACCAACAGGCTGCGGCAACAGCCTCTCCCTCCCGCCCCCGCGTTTCCCCCTCCCGGGAAGCGCTTTGCTGAGCAACAGGATTCTCGGGGGCGGAGGGGAGGGCGCGAGAGGCGGGGTGGGGGGTGGGAGAAGAGGGTAACGTGAGCGTCAGCCCATCACACCCCTCCCCCGCCGCCTCTGCTCTGTCTCAACCCGAGCGTCCGCGCTCTATTCCCGAGCTGAGAGGGAGGGGGAGGGGAATTAGAAAGCTACTTTTCAGTTTTCGTCTCCTGATTGGCCGCGTCCCTTGGAATCAGCCGACACTCTTCCGGGAAAAGCCAAGAAAAAAAAACATCTCTTTCTTCGCGGGCGGGGAAGGTCGCTTCTCCCTCCGTGCGCCTTGTCTTGAAGTTGGTCCTTCGGAGCGACGCCCCCCCCTTTTCCTGTTCAGGTTTGGTATGTCCCGTTGCAGGACACCCTTCCCCTCCTCCTTGTCCGGTTCCTCCAACCCCGCTAGAGCGCTTAAGCGGGTAACCAGATATTCAAAAACAATACGTCAGCCCACAATGCCCTGCACGGAGCTCAGGCATTACCTCAGCCCACAATGCCTTGCGAAAAGGGGCCGGGAAACTGATTGGGATGGGGTGGCCATGGAGATGGGCGCCTTTGCAACAGGCTGGCCCAACCGCCCTCCTCCCCCGGAGAGGCGGCGGCAGCCAATGGGAAGGCCCCGGGGTGACATCATGGGCTATTTTTAGTGGGTTACTGCTCACTGATAAGTGTTGTGCTCCACGCTGGGAAAGAGCTCAGAGTGAGATTGAGTGCGGCGGGAGAAGCGACGGTGGCAGCGCTCCTGTCCGGCAGGAGGAGAAGAAGCCCAAGCGGCCACAGCAGGGCCAGTTTCAGCTCCAGACGCCAGCGGGGCCCGGGCGGTTATTCCTGAGAACCTGACGCTCAGAGGACGAGCCGGGGCTCCCTTGTTACGAAGTCGGGTCGGGGTCGCTGCGGTTCCCCCCCCGTCCCCGCGCCAGAGCGCGAAGGCTGAACTTGCCCGGGCATCCTTCCTTTGGAGCGCCGAGTGCCTGCCTGCCTGCCTGCCTGCCTCCTTGGACCGTTTCAGCTCTTCTCCTCTGGATCGAGAAGTTGCCGAGCGTGGGAATCTCCTCTTTTTTCCCCCCACCCCCATCCCCCTTACTGTGAGCAAGTAGCGGGGCGATCTACTTGTGGCAACTTTTTTTTTTTTTTTTTTTTTTTTTGCTTTTGCTTTTCTGGCTGGGGCTGAGGTTGACCTGCTTTTTGACAGCCGCTGCAGAAAGGCGAGGACTCCGACAAGTGGGTTTGAAACTCGGAAACGCTCCAGACCGACCCAGGACACTCCCACGAGGAGCGCGAAGGGGCGGAGGAGGGAAAAAAAGGACTCAAAAAGTTTCTGGATTTCATCCTTGCACGGCGCGATAAAGAGGCCCCCCCGAAGGTGTCGCCAGCATTACCTCGTGGATTCCTTCCTTGGACTGAGAAAGGGATTCTGGATTTGAAAAATAACTTTTATTTGGTCTTTCCCCCCCCCCTCCCCTCCCAACAGTCTCAGTCGGGAACTGATGCCCAGGCTGGGTCTTTGAGGTGAAACTCTGTCGAATCTGACTTTTTTTTTTCTAGCCAAACTGGGGGAGAAAACTGGGGACTCAAAAATCAATGCCTTATTGCAAAAAAGTAAGACTTGAACTGATTACTTTTGAACTGAATTGATTACTTGTTGAAAGAGTATTAGTGTTGTAAGAACTGCTCCTACTTAGTAACTGTTGCGGCTGTGAACTTCTTTAGGTTGTAACAAGCCAGCTTCCTTTCTTAAGTCTGTTTTTGGGCTGTAGGTGAACAAACTTGTGGACTGTATTCTATGACTGCAAAGATGGAACCTACATTCTACGATGATGCCATCAATGCTACCTTTGTGCAGCCAGAAAGTGGTGCTTATGGATATAATAATCCCAAAGTTCTGAAGCAGAACATGACGCTCAATCTGGCTGACCCTTCCAGTAACCTCAAGCCCCACTTGAGGAACAAGAATGCTGATATCCTGACCTCTCCAGATGTGGGCCTTCTCAAGCTGGCTTCTCCTGAACTGGAAAGGCTGATTATTCAGTCAGGCAATGGACTGATCACCACTACTCCAACCCCAACCCAGTTTCTCTGTCCCAAAAATGTTACCGACGAGCAAGAAGGCTTTGCTGAAGGCTTTGTCAGGGCACTCGCAGAGCTACACAATCAAAACACCATGCCAAGTGTTACCTCCGCTGCTCCGCCTACGAACTCCGGCATGGCCCCTGTCTCTTCCATGGCTGGAAACAGTGGCTTCAGTGCTAACATGCACAGCGAGCCGCCCGTCTATGCTAATCTCAGTAACTTCAATCCTAGTGCACTTAATACAGTGCCTTCCTACAATGCAAACAACCTGGGCTTTCCTCCACAGCATCATATGAACCCCCAGATGCCGGTGCAGCATCCGCGCCTCCAAGCTCTGAAAGAAGAGCCTCAGACTGTCCCAGAAATGCCCGGGGAGACTCCTCCCCTGTCCCCTATTGACATGGAATCCCAAGAAAGGATCAAGGCAGAGAGGAAGCGCATGAGAAATCGAATTGCGGCCTCCAAGTGCCGGAAAAGGAAGTTGGAGCGGATTGCCAGGTTGGAAGAAAAAGTAAAAACTTTGAAAGCCCAGAACTCAGAACTAGCGTCTACTGCCAACATGCTGCGAGAGCAGGTTGCACAGCTGAAGCAGAAGGTCATGAATCACGTCAATAGTGGATGCCAGCTAATGCTCACACAGCAGTTGCAAACTTTTTGAAAAGACTGAAAAGTAACTTTAGGATGATGGGGAGAAATTAAGGAGAGGAAAGAGTTTGGGAGGCAGAACCCCCCTCCCACACACACACACACACACACTTGTGATGGGTGGAGAGAAAAGGCTGAAAGGCATTGATTCCGAAGACTGCCACCCCCGAGTCAAATGCATGTGTGGAGAGACTGGTGTGCCTTCTGGGTGAGGTGGCGGCATATCAGTTGACAGAACAACTCAGCAAAACAGCTGAGCTGTTCCAGCTCAGATAAGGCATGGATGCCTTGTGTTCGTCTTTCTTTTTCTCTCTCTTTTTTTTAACATTGACCAAGACTTGCATGGACCTAACATTAAATGATCATTCAGTATTAAAAGTTAAACTGCAGTAGATACTGTAGATGGCTTTCTCTTAGTACTCCTTTTTAAAACAAAAAAAAAATAGGGTGTTTTGGGGAGGCTAACAACAGAAACTGAGCTATACTGCCTATCTGAGTTGTGTATGTACATATATATTTTTTATTTTATGACAACTGATTAATGTCAAGTAAAACTACTTCATGACTTTGTAAGTTATTTTTTATGTTCATTTGGGTTTCACCCAGTATTGTTTGTAAATAAGAGATTTTTTAGCAACTTTTGAGTTTTTTTCCATTTGTAATAAAGTATATAATTTTTTTAATGTTTATTTCTGAAACAAAAGAAAGGGTTGATCTTATTTAAGAAAGCACCAGTAATCCTTAATCACTTTCTTTTGATTAGTATCATTTAAATTTCAATTCTACACACACTTACCTAGGAGCAAGTCTTATTAAATTTAGTGAGGCTTACTGCTGAGTAGACATACAAAAAAAAAGATACTTGTAAATCGGGCATATACAGAATCAACTTTTAGTTGAATGTTAAAACTCAAGTGAGGAATGAGAAACTCTTCTTTGATCTTCACAAACTGTAACAACCATTTTAAAAGTCTTGTGGCACTCCTGTTATAATAAAACTATTGGTCTTTAGGGTGCCACAAGATTCCTTGTGTTCTAAATCCCAGATGGATTTTTTCCCCCTAAGGGCATCAAATTGATATTCCTAGGCTACTAACAAATGTTGGATAGAAAAGATACAAAGACTTACACATTCAAAGATTTATTTTAAGTAAGAGAACTGTCTTCCTCTTAAAGGCATAATTTAGGGAGGTTGTATTACTAGAAAAAAACTGGGGCACCAGAAATGCTTTGACAATCTATTGCAAATATCTGCTGGTAGATTCTAATCTACTTTTTGCCTACCCCTGCTTTTTAACTGGAATACAAGAAGACATCTCAGTGACCCCCTGTGGTAGGAAAAAAGAGCTGCTATCTAATCTGACTTTAAACTTGTACAGTTTGCTCCACAAAGAACTATTGATACCATTTTAACGGAAATGAAAAAAAGTTGGTAAAATTATTCTGTATCTACGTACTTGTAGAATAAGCTTTTTTAAAAGTATAACTGGCTATTTTACAATTACATGTTCTTTTCTTAAGGAAATATTAATAGATAACCTTTGGAAGAAACAACTGTTTTTAAAAGCAGCCTTCAATTTGTCACCTTTCTGTTTTGTTATCTCTTTGATTTTTTTTTAAAAAATGATCTCTGTTCATAAGTATTTAGGACTATGCCTGTTGTCCAATAAAATCATTCTATTAATCTTCCAACAAATATGAATCTCTTTTCCCTCTTTTGGTGGTGGTTCTTTAAAACTATAAATTATTTCACAACAGATGAGAGGGGAGGATAATTTAAACTGGCTTACGTGCCTTGGAATTTGGGAAGTAAAATTCATAAACACTAAAGAGATTTTTTTAAATAATAGCAGATTTTAAAATATAAAGTAATAAAAAATGCCATGAACTTAATTCCAAAAGCAAAGCTTCCTCATAGCTGAACACACCAAAAATACTTATCGAGTGTTAATCCTAAAATAAAATGTGCCAAATTGGCTAACAGTTTGACTGTTAGTGCTTGATCAATTGCCTTATAAACTTCACTGGAAAGACTGATGTTATCTATGTTTATGAGAAAGTTAGTCTTTTCCATTGAAAAGACTGATGTTATCTATGTTTATGACAAAATCTTGTCAAAGCTGTAACCCTATGTGCATTTCTTAGTATTTAATGGTAAAGTCTCAATTACATCTAGGATTAGTGTCATTCTTAACCAGGTTTCTTTACAATCAGGCTTCATCAATTGCAATGGGGAATATTTACTTAACAGTAGGATAGAATTCTGTTATATGTTGAAACAAGCCTTCTTGAATTTGGCAGGACTTACAAGCAGATGACCTTGGGCTACATAACCTACATCAGGATTTTTATTTTATTTTAAATCTTAGATGGGCAAACCAGCCCTGCATTAATGCTAACAAGACATTCAGGTGGCCCTGTCACCAGGAGCTGACCTCAACTAGAGAGAGATTTTACTTTTGTAAGAAAATTTAGTTGGCTACTGAGTTCAGTTGGAGTTATTTCCATTTATCTCTAGAAAATAGTTCAAAGCGTTCAACTGTAAATTTTGAAGATGAAAGAGAATTAAGTGGGCTACCCTAGTCGCTTATCTGCACTTTAGAGTGGATTGAGATTTGCAGTATTCGTTCTTTTCATGACAAGTTCATCAGATATAACTTTTCCATGGCTGAATTAAGGAAACACTTTAGCAGTTTGATTTCTGCTGTCAAACTGCAGAAGATGATGTTTTTGCAAGGGTGTTAACATTTCTCTGTAAAAAATTCCTCACTGAGTGATAAGTTAGCATGAACTTAGAAGCAGATTCTGCACTTTCCTTTGTGGTTTCGGAATATTAGTAGGTTCAAAAACACAGGTAATTCATTTCATGCAGGATTCCCCCACTAAATTTCTGCCTATTGTGCATCCGTTAAAATAAACATCCAAAGGCATCTAAGAAATACTTAAATGCAGTGTTCCTAAGTAGTATGATGCAACAATTTTTAGTTTTCTTCAGAAAAGTGGTTTCTTTATGATTGAATCTTTCTATAAAGAGGCTGAATTAACAGTGGCAATTGACTGCCACTATTTAATGGTAATCAGTTAAAGGAAAAGTTGTCAAAGAAGGGGTTAACCAGGATGATTGCATACTTTGTTGGGTGTCCCTAGTGCTGACACAAGCAAGCTGGAAAGCAAGCTGATTCTGACCATCTGTAGGAACAGGCAATCAAAGGACAGAACAAGCATAAAACTCAGCTGGGTGTGGTCTTGCTGCTCCCCAACATGTGCCAACTAGCAAAACAAACAGCCTACCTGGAAAGGTAAAGCACTGAGAACTATCAAGCTTACTTCTGTTGTGCAAGAGATTTTATAGTTCTAAACATTCCATGTCACTCTGGATGGGAGCAGACTGCCCTGATTTAATCTTGGTGTTTCTAAACTCCTTGACATTTCCAGGAATGTCTTCTCATTCTACCCTTTTTTAAAGGCTGTCCACTGATTCACCTTGTTTTTTTTAACTTTGTTTCCAAATAGCAGTATCCACACAAAAATAAAATACTGGAGAGGTTTGGTGCAAATTTAAAGAAGGGATTCTTAAGGATTCCAGCAAGTATTTTTAAGTCAAGAAAAAGACTGCTTGAATTTTCCTAGATACAGCACATACCAACTCTCTGCCGATCTGCTTGGGGTCCCAGGACAAATGGGCCATTCTGGAGGATGCTTGGTCCTGGATTTTGCCTTTTGGTATGACTCTTGTATCTTTATAGCTGGATTTGCAAAATATGTTGAATCAAATTAACCATGTGGGCCTATACCAGGGGTAGGCACCCTTGGCTCTTTTATGACTCGTGGACTTCAACTCCCAGAATTCCTGAGCCAGCTATGCTGAAGTTGAAGTCCATGAGTCATAAAAGAGCCAAGGTTGCCTACCCCTGGCCTATACTCATTGTGTTTTGCATCTCACTGTCTGCCTGAGACAGAACCAGCCAATCACAAGCTAGCCCTCTCCAAATCAATCCCCATGTGGTTAGTTTATGATTTCATGTGTTGTGCGTACCCAGGAAATGGGGTTAAGTAATCTATGACTCATTTAATATTGGGCAAATGTATTGTGTGAACACAGCCCATACGTTGTGCAAACCAAGTTGATGTGTGTAGCTTATGATTTGGTGAGTTGAACAAATTTGTGTCAGTAGTTCAGTTATCCAGGGCTTAGCTTACATGAATATACCTTTCTGAGATGGATGGCAATGCAGTCAATAAGATTTTTTTTTCATATTTGAGTTATAGGAATTGAAAAATGTTGACCAATTTCAGTTAATAAAAGAACTGTTAAAGTTACCGAAGCCCTCACAACCACGGACAACTTTAGAAGAAATATAAAAACAGGAGAGTTGGATGTCTTTATTTTTATTTTTAATGAACAGAAACTCTATAAATCAACTGTAGATGTCAGTGGCACTTGAAAACTAACACATTTATTTAGTATTAGACAACCCATGCCCTGTTGGGTCATTATTTTGGAGATATTTCCTTTCCTAAACCGAGAAAGGAATGACCACAGGTAGGCAAAAAAGCAGTAATAGCAGGAGTGACTTCTGACTTCCTGCCACCTTTCCCATTGGGTCTCCTTGTGAGAATATCAGAAATATCCCTCCCTCCTCCTTCCATTCCATTCCCTTCCCTTCCCAGCAGGAGCAAGGAATTGCAAGAGTGGCTGGGAAACTGTCACAGAACATTGAAAATGAGGATCATGTGACCACAGCAGCCTAAAACAGCTACATTTGTCTCAAATTCCATTCCCTCAGGAGTCGTGAGTCCCAGACTTTGGAGGTATTCTGTAAGTTAACACATTTAAGATACCTTGGTTCAGAAATTGTTGCCCTGTGATGTGTTGTTTAGCTCAGTTAAAGTTTATATAAACAAAGGTTTTATTGGTATACAGATTTCTTTTTACAGAGTAAAGTTCATTTTACCATGTATGTGACATATTATTCTATGTTACAGTCGCTACATTTCATTTATGAAAAAAGAAGCCCTGTGGAGCATTTTCCTGGCATCCTTTGCTACTGTGCTCCAACCAGTTTGAAGCAATGAACCAAATGTTTAAAAGAACAGTAAAATGGCATTAGTCCAAAGGGAAAGATGCTAAATTCTACCTTCTCACAAACCCACCCCCCCAGAGCCAGATTGCCACCATTTTACAAAACTTCATTAGGGAGTTCTTACAGTTCTTATATATGAGGGCAGTTTGTTTTAGGTAGAGGTGCCATCACTAACAAGGCCCTACTATGCAGATGAAATTCTTTGGGAAAATGATCGTCAATAAGGCCTCACTCCCAAATGTCACAGGATAAGCAGATTTATTTTGGAGCAGATCGTGAGAATAACCAGGCCCTGAGTCCTGTTGACATAATATGCTCACAGCATAATATTTATTTCTAATGACTGGTCCTCTAGCACTATGAATTCTTCATTAAATGATTTAAGATTCTTCTGGCAGCTCCCACTAGAGCTAAGTAAGCCTGAAATAATTTTTCGAATTTCCAAAACTGTCACTAAATCAGCATTTGTTGTATGAAATGACAAATCTCTTCAAGCTGAATTGGCATTTTAAATATAATTATTTCTTTGACTATAAAAATTGACACTTTAATAAAAACAAAAGATTAATACATGGCTAGATCAAACAAAATTATAATGCATTTAGTTTGGGGGATAGTGTGAACTCAGATATGATTTATGATTTATGGTTTAGCATGATATTGAAACCAGGCATTATACCTTACTCAGCCATTATGGTCTATTAAACAAACTATGTTTCATAAAATAGATTCCAGATCCCCAGAAAGAAACATAAACTAAGAAATGGGAGGATAAAAGATAAAAAAAACTTAAGAAGATGGTAACATGCACAAAGACCATTGGTGGACCAGATGAAGATCTGGCTCGACTTTCCCCACTCTGGCACCCTCTATATCAGGGATGTCCAACATGGCAACTTAAAGGCTTGTGGATTTCAACTCCCAGAATTCCCCAGCCAGCCATGCGGAGAGTTGAAGTCCACAAGTCTTAAAAGTTTACCAACGCTGGATGCCCTTGCTCTGTATATAGGACTGGGAAAGCGTTTCTTCATATTTCTTGAGAGGCCTATTCCATCCCAGGGGGGTAATATGAAACAATCACGAGTATTAGCCATTAATAGTCTTTCTCATTATAGATTTGCTTAGCCCCTTTTCCAGACTGTTTTTTGTTATACCATGAGTTATCAACACAGAGACATTGCATTAGTCTTGATAGTTCTGACATCTGAAGCTGTTTGACAAACAGGAGATGAAGAGCCTTTCCAGCTAGCTACACAAAACGGGTTTATAAATACAAAGATTCAGATATGTCTGGGATGGACATATTGCACGGACATGAGGCAAGCTTGAATTAAAAATCTCAAAAGGTGCTATTTCTTGAGAACAAAGCATGTGGTCAACTTTTTTTTTTGTTTTCTTTTTGCAAACCACATTTTCCTGAGTATATTTTCTGTTTCCAAACCCATTGACTGCCAAAAGAGAGAGAGAGAGAGAGAGAGAGAGAGAGAGAGAGAGAGAGAGAGAGAGAGAGAGAGAGGCAGAAAGGCTTGGAAAGATCAGATATGAGTTTCTATCTTCTCCAGTAACAGATTAGGTCCTCAGGGACATCTGTTTTATCTTTTGAGAATGTTCT